CTGAAATAGATATGTACGGAACGAGAAAGATATATCGATAGACTGAGATATATATATATATATTTAGATAAATATCTACAGATTAGATAGACATGAACTGACTGAAATAGATAAATTACATGTATAGATACATACATACATGCATCTATAGAATGCTAAATTAACAAGAATATGGAAGAACAAAATACAGACTATAAATCGCTGCTAGTCTCCATTCGCCAATATGGATGTGAAACGTGGATAGTGTTGGCAGAAAAAGAGAGAAGGATCCAAGCGTTTGAGAACAAATGTATGAGAAAACACCTTGTTGATTTTGTGCGGAAAAGGATTGAATGTTTTGTGGACCTCTCCTCGTCACTGTCAACCGGAGAAAAATGGCGTGGTTTGGACATGTTACAAGGCACGACAGCCTGTGCAAGACCATCATGCAAGGCAATGTTGAAGGTGGACGTATGAGAGGACGCCAACGCAAGAACTGGTTCGACAATGTCAAACAAATGGCAGGTATGACTATAACAGAATTGCTAATGGCTGCCGTTGATAGACTGTCGTGGAAAAGAGTTAATGTGGCTTCTGCTTTCGGATCCACCCTACGATTTCAAAAGTCAAGGGGTGATGAGGATGGATAGATAGATAAATAGATACAGTCTTAGACAGATATAAAGGCTGACATAAATAAATGGAAAGAATATATATATATATATATATATTTGGTTGGATTGCTGTGAGTTTGTGACCCTGGGTTTCACGCTTTCGCGATCGTCAGACAAACTGATTAATTTAAAAAAAAATATATAGTAATTTTCAACTATCATAATTTTACACAGAATACCCATTATCAGGATTTATACCAAAATAAATCAATATATATAACAAAATAAAATAAAACACCAACAACCACTTTTTAGTTCAAGCTACCACCACTATAACTACATTCATGGTTTTATCATTCTCCCACCACCATGACTAATCACTTCTACCGATTTACAATAACTATTAGCTACTTATATTATCATTGTCTCCAATCCCTTACAACATTACTATCATATCACATCTCCTATTTTCATATAAACCCGCTATAATTATTAACGTAAACTACCCCCTCTCCAAGCTTATTAAATACCACCAAATAAAATAACCAATAAGGATTACAAACCGAAATTTCTACCAGTTACATATACACAGTCATCAAAAACAAACAAATAACCAGCTTTAAAATAATAACAAATAAACCCTTTTTTTTTTCAAATTAAAAATAAAAATAATAGTAATTTTTACCTATCATAATTTTATACAGACCCCACCACACGTATATACATACATACGAGGAAATATTATTCAGTGGAAAAATAGAAAAATGCTCTGATTTTTGACATGTATACATTCACGAGAAATTTTCGCTACACTTCCAAATACAAATGCGTATGTATAGACACAACACCACCCATATACATACATATGTCAAATCCGAAACTGTCCACATATGTTTATATATGTATGAGTGCCCGACGGACAAGCAAGTGTGTATGTGTGTCTGCGTACCTCATCGGGTGTACGGACATGCATCTATGTTTGCGTTAGAACGATGACATCACGACGACGATCCACCCCCGACTTCCACAATAACACCAATACACGCAATCTACATAAACCCAAATTTTTAAAAAATTAATCAGTTTGTCTGACGATCGTCAAAACTAAATATGTTAGCTCTATCTCTGATATTGAGCGCTTTCTAATAAGTACCGCGCATATAATATATAAATAATTATATATATATATATATATTTTTTTTTTTATATTTATATACACACATTTTTCACACACACGAACACAAATATATATATATATAGAGAGAGAGAGAGAGATCGCTAGATATGTACAGACTAAGATAGATTTACCGGTCTGAATATCCAAGAAATTGTCATAGAAAATATTCGTCCTCCGACAGGAATCGAACCTGTATCCTATACGGAACCATCATATTGCCTGAAGTGCCTTAACCGATTGGGCCACAGTGGAGCGTTTCAGTTAGCAAGGTCGATTTTACTGTTTTTAAACTACAATCTTCTATGATATCTCTCACGTACATTCATATCTGCTTATGGCGTATCCAAATGTAAAGAAATGACGTCACACATTATGAAATGAACAAAGTCCGACAATTATTTTAAAGATATTTTTATGTTTATACATTCTTTTTATAGATACAAATATTTAAGTAAATGCTCTGTTTATAATAAACAGTATTAACGACATTTACCGGCCTGAATGTCCGAGAAAATTTTCATAGAAAATATTCGTCATGGAAGATTGAAGTTTAAAGGCAGTAAATTCGACCTTGCTAATCGAACGATCCTTTGTGGCTCGATCGGTTAAGAGCACGTCAGGCTAAATGACGAATATTTTCTATTAGTTTCATATCTCCTGACGAGTGACCGGAGCGATTTCTGGAGGTCATGACAGCGATCGCATTTTCGCTTCAAGGGCGTCTGCAAAAGGGTTTGTTACGTTTCGGTGTAGCCCATTTGGTGTGGCTGATTACCTGTGGCTGACTCGTCGCCAGAAAAATAATTATTCAATTTGGCACAGCCGTTTAGGCGTCAGACTGTTTCGACGTCACTGTCTTTGACAGGAGGCAACGCAAAAAAAAGGATAAAAGCATTGAAAACATCTAACTTTCAATATGACTTTCTGACCTCAAATACATTGAGTCAATTGCATCGCCCACCGCGAGGAAAGTTGGCTCTCTGTGCCGCGCCAGGAAATTTTTCTTCCCGGAATCGATACTTCAAATATACAAATCAACCATTCGCCCTTGCATGGAGTATTGCTGCCATATATGGTCCGGTGCACCTTCTGTTTACCTCGGAGTTCTTGACAAGATCCAGAGACGGATATGTAATATAATTGGCCCTGATCTGGCATCTCGTCTACAGTCACTCTCTCACAGACACGCCGTCGCCTCTCTCTGTCTTTTCTAAAAATACTTTCATGGTAATTGCTCCGATGAGCTGCTTTCACTGGTTCCCAGACTCCATGAATTCAAGTGCCCTACGAGGCTGGCATCCCGCTCTCATTGTTTCACTGTAGAAACTTTTAAATGTAGCCGTCTCTTCTACTCCAATAGCTTCATATCTCGCACCTCTCACCTGTTGAACACCCTTCCCAATTACTGTTTCCCTGAGAGCTATAATCTCCAACTATTCAAATGTAATGTCAATCGACATCTCCAGTTACCTTGATCTACCCACTATCCCTCTCTTCATCCTTTCTTCTATCACTCCTATCTGCTCTCGCTCCAAATCTTCTGCAACCCCCTGCATCCTAGTGGCTTCACGCCTTGCTCGGGGTGTAATGCTTAAAAAAAAATTCATTTAGGGAGTTAAGGATTGTATTAAAACACTACTGGAATAATGTAAATTAAAAACTTAAATTAAAAATACTTTATTTCAAAAAAAAAAAAAATTAAAAAACTTAGTAAAGCGATTTAATTTTAGAAATTACTTCTTCATTTCGTAATTATGAGCAAGAACCTTCAGGAATTTAATAGGATCTAATAATTCAACTTCCATTATGACTTTTTCGATTCGTTTGCCAGCATTTTCGGGGTGGATATCTAGTGATCAGTTTTTTTGAGAAATGCATCCCGTCTTTTCCGTAAGACCCTCAATAAATGTCCAGATTGAAGGATGATGCATTCTTGGCTCAAATTGCAAACGTCAATTGGCAGTTTCAGCCATGATTGTTGGAGCGATCTTCATCATTTTGAATTCGTTCATAATTGCCCCATATCTCAGGATCAAAAACAGGGCCATCCTCGCATTTCGACCCTATTCAGTGGAATCATTCACTATGAAGCAAGATGTCTATTCAGTATGAAAGAAGATTGTCAATGACGAAGTCGTAATCTGACGTCTAATCGTCCTGCTGCTGAAAATTCCTATGTCAAATCGGCTACCGAATGGAATTTTCTTTTTGTACAAAAGAAGCGTTCAATATAATGGACCTGACCGGGTATTGGTAGAAATGCAAAATGGAATTATGTTCACTTTAATATGTTGTTGCTATATTCGTTGTAAATTTTGTTGAGTGTTGGTTTATTTTGATATAGAGGGCCTCAAGAATTTGAAATTTTTTGTTTGTTATTTTCGTGGTGTAGTATATTGTTGATCCCAACAAGTATCTTCATGTATTGTGAAATTGTACAGGAATATAATATATATATATATATATATATATATATAATGATTTTCTAAGCCCGGCTTAGATGTGGCACAAGGCTCGAACTTAATACTGTTTCAACCAACATCTCATCAGGAGACAATCGTTGGATAATTAATTAACGAAAAGAACAGTAACGAAAATAAAGAGCAAAAAAAGGGGGCGAAACACGCTAAAATAACAAACAAGTGTATATACTTGTAACGAGGTGTGTGGGGGGATAACGTGTAAATAAATTAGTGAGGGACAGTTAAAAAAAAAAAAAAAAAAAGTTTTTTTTTTTGCTCAATATATTCCTAGTTTTAAAACTATATATATATATATATATATATATATATATATATATATTAATTTTTTTATATACACACACTTTTCACATATATAACATTATATATATATATATATATATGTATGTATGTATGTATGTCTGTATTACATTATATATATTTCAAATTAGTCACAACATATTACAATGCATCTAGACATATGGTTCTGTTGTTAATATTTCGGTCTCTCATGTGGTGTGACATCATAGAACGGCATCTTGAACTTACGATCTGCGTCTGCTATTCCGCGACCGTTATCGTCGTATAGCAAACTTCTATGTCAACATAACAGAATATCATGTTCGATGGTGAAATGTCCGTATAACCACTCAGAAGATGGCTCATGCGAGCTGAAAGTTTAGATCAAGCGACAGACAGCTTAATAAAAAATATCCAACCGTTAGAAAATATTTGTCTGTATTTTCGCCCGAAATTAAAGCAGCATACGAA